ACTTACTCATTGTTAAACTTTTTGAGAAATGTGTCTTTGTTTTGAAAACTGAATTAATGGTTTGGGAGGGAAGAGTGCCAACTAAAATCAGTTATATTAACAATCGAGAAAACTCCAATACGACTAGATTCTTATTCTTACCTAACTCTGCTATTAGTTTCCGTGATCGGCATCTTCTTGTTGATTTCACGTTATCGTTACGGCTTATATCCATGATGAAAGTGGAGCGAGCGGTCGGAGAATCGGATCATCCAACAATTACGCGATGAATCAGGACGGGATTAGATTTCTCAAAGGACTTCTGATATATATATATATATGCAAACACAAATGTCTCTTTTTGCTACCTACTGCGCATATTTTACGCTAAATCATTTACATGTACTTAAAGGCACAGTGTAAGACGGTAATATATATATATATAAATTGTTGTCACTGTAAATTATCAGTATTTTATGCTGCCTGACGCACTGGTGTTTTTTCATGGAATGCAATGCAACAGGGTTTTGATGCACTCGGCGTCGCTTCACTGTCTTTCCATTACAGGTGATGCAGAACAGGCAGAGAGGGTAATCCAAGACCAGTCACGATTTCAATAGATGTTGTTTGGTAGCAGATGCGCTTTCGTGGAGTTTATATAGTTTAAGGCAGGCTACTTAAGTTCACGCAGCAAATGGCTCATCTAAAATAATCTGACCTGTGGGTGATCGCTGGCAACAGAAATGTGTGATTATTTATTATCAGGTTTAGATGTGTGTATAAGAACCACCCCTTCACAAGCAAGCAGCAACCTGTTGTTTTGATTCGTAGAAGCTTGTAATATGGATGAGGTAAACGCAGTTCAGTTTGGCAAAAGACAGTTCTCTTCTACATTGTAGTTCAGTTAAGCCACATTTGTTTCAGTTTTGTTTTGGTTCCACTAGCAAAAAAGCACACTGGAATTATGTTTGTTAGGCCATACTGTAGTGCAATAGTATTATTTGTTAAAAGCTACCATTTTTGAATAGTGCCCAGGAAATAGTCAATATTGGCAATACATGAATATTGTAATTATATAGGTATATCTTATAGTGTCGTGATATTTCTAGGTATCTGATGGCACCTTAATACATTTTCTGAGGGTCTTAGTACTTTTTTGAATCTTTATAATTTAATATTCATTTATATTTAGGTCTGTAATAGAAAAGTGTAGACAATTACAATACTGATTGTCGCTTTGGATAAAAAAGTATATGCAAGTGACCAAACAATGTGTTTCACAGTACATTAAATTAAATGTATGTGAACAAAATTAAACAAAATGTATTGATGAAACACAACTTCCTAGATGCAAACACATTTACAGAAACCTCCCCTTATACTGTCAATCTCTGGACTTTGGGGTTTCAGTTTGAATAATGCATTTTGGTTAAACTGCACCTTGATGATGTATGATAAATTCAATAGCCATAATTCTATCTGACACTGCCTGAAAAATGATTGTCCTCTTGGCCAACAATGAAGAATAACTATAAAAACATTAGGGTTAAGGGCTGTATTATCTACACACAATTAATGGCTAATACATAGTCATTTGGGCCTTTACTTTTTTGAACCCTTATAATTTGTGGTCATCTTTATTAGGACTGTAACAGAAAAATGAAGAGTTTATTTGCAAAACAGATAACTCCGTTTTATTTATTTTTTTCAATTTTCAAAAATCATGTTTTTTATTATGTTATCATGTTTTTATTGTGTTTTATTTTGTTAGTTAGCTGTATTTTTTAGTTATTTTTTACCTAATCAAAATAACCAAACTACAGTTTGATTGACATTAATCGGAATGAAAAAACATGAATTTTGAAAATTGTTACATTGTTACATTTAACATAATTGTTAAAATTGTTAACAGAGTTATCTGTTTTTGCAAACTCTTCAAATATTGCTTAAAATAAGGCTTAAAATCTTGTATTCTCTATGGCCTTGGAATAGAGCACTTAAATATACAAAATGTACAATAATACTGTACATCCAAAAATGTACATCCAAATGTCACTTTGGATAAAAAACATACATTAAAATACCAAAAGATCATAGCCCACACACTGAACACATGAAATTAAAAGTAAATGAGCACAACATTTAGTTTAGCAACAAAGAACTTCTTAATAGAAGCAAATGCATTTACACAAACTTCCCTATATTGTCAACCTCTGGAGTTTCAGTTTGAATTATGTGTTTTTTGTTAAACTGCACCTTGATGATGTATGATAAAATCAATAGCAATAACTATATCTGTCGCTGTGTGAAAAATGATGACCCTCTTGGCCATTTATAAAGTGTGAAAACAGAGGTTAAAGGCTTTAATATCTATACACTATTAATGGCTAATGCATACACAGTCATTTGGATCTGTTAAGGCGGGAGAAGAGAAGTGAGAGAGTATGTATCAGGTTTTATTAGGGAAGATGCCATATTTACTGAGAGTGAGGAGTGTGTATGTGAGAGTATGCCTATGAGCTTGAATGTCACAGCTGTGTGGAATCCCTCTCTCTATCATCATGTAAACATACTCCTAATAGATATCTTTAGCTGTGTGTGTGTGTGCGTGTGTGTGTATTAGAACAGATGTGTGAGTCATACCCTCTCTACATTCGGCTCAGCTTTTTTGACACTTAGTAATGCTACACACCAAGCCACACTATTTTTCCCAATCAGGAGCACAGGAGATTTGATCTACTTCAGTCTATTATTAATATAAGAGCATGATGGGAATGTCATGGGTGGCATGACACTAAATGCTAAAAAAACTTATGAAAACTTTAAGGTCCAATCAGGGGTGAGTTTCCCATACAACAACGCAACTCACAGCTAACTGTTACATATTTTGAGTTTATCATTTAGTTTACCAATATAGGACTGTCATTAATTACATTAAACACAGGTGGTGGAGAAATTAATTTTGTTTGTTAATCAATTAAAAAATGACAATTAATGTGAGATTTTTTTTGTAGTTAATTTACACAAACAACACGTTAATATGCAGTATATAATTGGCATACACGTATGGTTCATTTAGTCAGCAGCTTTCTCCACAACGTAATTTCTTTGAGATGCTACTGTAATAAAAAAGGACTATATTTAACTATATTTGTTACCTGTCATTTTGCTGCTTGATGTTTGATTCATTCTCATACAAATTTATGCACATACATTACAGACTCTTCAAAACAGTGCTAATTAAAGTTGAGGCTAAAATATTTAGACTGAAATATATATATAATTTAAATGGAATTAAATATATAGAATGTACTGTATATTAGCTTGCTTTTTTTCTTTAATAGCATGATATATTGAAGTCCATATTTCATACTTGCAAGAAATTATGCTTCTAACCTCAGGTCGAGTTCCAACCAAAGAGTTCGCATTGGAACTATGATTTTGGAAAACATTGACTTGTTGAACTATATTTGTAAGGATAGAATTTGTGGCCATAGCTGAGCTGGCTAACAATGTTTTTGAGAAAGCATTGTTTGCTTTGAGTGACTGCAACCTAACTTTGCATCTTTTTATAATTCTGGCAGATATTTAAAAGGTACCAGCAGGGTGCGAACTACGGGGGAGCTAGGGGGAGCTCGGCTCCCGTGGCGTGTTGCTTCACATCTTTGAAAGCTGTTCAGAGTTTTGCTGGATTCATAGAAGTAAGCAAACTAAATATTTCAAGCAGATTTCTATCTGTGAAAAAAATCAATACTTCTTACTTTTGGGTGAATAGAAATTGTAATCTCAATGTCTGCACAAATTTCCATTAATAAATGGTTGTTTCCTGTACAACCGTTCATCTATATCAAATAAACCAAAACAAACAGTGGTTGGTCATTTTACATATCAGATGGCCACTTGGGGAGTTCTTGGCCAGAAAATGTCAAAAGCCTGGCTAGGCTACAAACATTAGACAGACAAAATGTGGTTAGGCTACTCACAGTAGCTAAACAGCCATGTTTAACAGACTTTTGTAGGGCTAAGGGTCATTCACATTAATGATAATAATGATGACTAACTATAAAGTTTTAATAATCGTTCTAAATATATGAAAATAAGGAAGTCCACAGTATAACGGATCAGATTAATGGTATTTTTGGAACCACTTTCAGAATGTTTTTTTTTTTTCAGCTGATAAATTATAAAAACATTGACTGAATCTATTTTACTTTAAACAGCTTTTAAACCGGCACGTGCTTAGAAAAAACTGAATGTTATCATGTGTTGGAGTGGAAGCTAAAATAGTTATCGTTTTAGTTATCTTTATGGTTATTGTTCTTCGTGTAAACAGGCCTTCACACACACAAATGCACCGACTCAATAAATTCACTAGCCGTGTCAGAAATGGCTGTCATAAGCAGTTTTTGAAATGTGGACAAATGGGTAGAGAAACAGACACAGATGCTTCTATCATTTGTGTTTGTTAAGGAGGGAGAAGGAAAGCAAGACAGCATGTATCAGATTTCATTAGTATGGATCTTAGTAAGGCAGGGTGCCATGTTTGCAGAGAATGAAAACAAGGACAAATAGATAGAGAGAGACAGGTATTTCAGCACTTTCTACTTAAAATAGTAATTTATGTAAACAAAAAATCTATTCCTATAATCTGCTGTTTATCCTAATTTTCTCCCTGTCCCAGTCCATTCCGGTCTGCTAGTTAAGTTATGAGTGCTGTTGCTCTATATAAAGCTAGCAGACATTTCAGTCGTACAGATATATGACATTACTTTCCCTTTTATTCTGTGCACCATAAAACATGAGAGTTCATGTTCAAGGACTGAGAGGGAGAGAGAGAGTGAGAGGCAGGGAATTGACCGAAGGTGAAGGTTATAAAGGGGAGTCAGGGGACAGACAGAGAGAGAGAGAGAAAGAGAGAAGGTGGTCGGCTTACAGAAACACTGTGGGGGACAGGAAAAGAGGTGGAGAGAGAAAGATGGGTGAGAAGGAGACGGTGACTTCCTGGCAGTTTATCATACGGAATGTCCAGCTCTGCTGCGGTGGCGATTAACGACAGACAGTCAGGCGTCACACGACCCGCTGGAGGGATGAGTGAGACGTTGGGAATCTGATGACACCCCAGGCATGGGGACTTGTGGGTAGGACACACTGATGGATAGCCAAAGTGACACATAATATTAGGACTCTCTCATATGCCTACACATTCAGACACAAATACACAAACACTACTCACAGATTACACTGTGTTATGAAACGACACTTTCTGCAAACAGGTTTTTTTTTTTTATTAATTTATTTTTTTTGACAAATGGTCAGTGAAAGGAGTAGCTATTTTATTTTCTGTTCACTTAGTAAGAACTTTACAATTTTTTCAACTGTTACAAAAATAATGCAGCTTATAATCTTGTGTGTGTGTGCTTTTTAATTTTTACAAAATCAGAACCGCTGTGGAGTAGCCCAGTACCTGCGTGACTCGACATAGATGTAAACAGAGAGAAGTAGCTCCGGCTACAATGTTCTTCCACAAGACGCATGCAGTTCTGCTTATTAACCGCTAGAGCACCAAAAGGTGCGGACTGGAGTTTTAAATAAAGTTAAATTTAAGTTAAACTGAAAAATAATGCAGTATGGGTGACAGGGTTGGAAATTTAGCCTTAATTAAACTACCACTCAGTAGGGACTAACTGGTTTGGGAACAAATGTTGGGCTTTACTGTTTTACTGGCTTTACACAAATGTTGGGCTTTACTGCTTTACTGGCTTTATACACACACACACACACACACGTATGTTTGTATGTATGTGTATGTATATGTATATATCTTATATATCTTAGCCCATCAACTTAAATCCAGGTGATCAGCACCACACATTTCTGAAATCGCAAACGATGCTGGGGAATTGACAATCGATCACCTTACAATTAACTTTTATTCTAGTCTTTATACATCAGAAACACCTAAGGATCAATCTAAATTGGTAGTTTTCTGATAAAATAAATGCCCCCACTATTTCATTAGAACATAAAAAAGACTTAGATCACCCCCTTTCAGCTACAAGAAATATCTGAGGCCATATCAGCATTGCAGAGCGGCAAGGTCCCCGTGCCCCAATGGCTTTCCCATCAAATTTTATAAGAAGTTTTCTGCTAAATTATCTCCACTCCTTCTCAGTATGTTTGAACATTCTTTATCTCAAAGAACTCTGCCAAAGTCCCTTACCGAAGCATTGATTACACTTTTGTTAAAGCCACAGAAACACCCAACACAATATAGTTCATATCGACCAATTTCTTTGTTAAATGCAGATGTCAAACTTTTAGCAAAATTACTGGTTATTCCTTTAGAGTCTCCCCTAGTCAATATCATCTCAGCAAATCAGACTGGCTTTATAAAAGGTCAGCACATATTTTCCAACATCCATCGCCTCTTAATTGTTATTTACACGCCCCCCCATCTCAAGACACCCCTGAAATTGTAGTATCATTAGATGCCGAAAAGGCATTCAATCGAGTGGAATGGGTTTATCTTTTTTTCGCTATGGATAGGTTTGGATTTGGCACCAGATTTATTGAATGGATCCACCTGTTGTATACTTCTCCAGTTGCTTCCGTGGTTACTAATAAATGGGGGTCAAAAATGTTGTCTTTGTCAAGCGGCACTCGGCAGGGGTGCCCATTAAGCCCCCTTTTATTTACAATTGCAATTGAACCATTGTCTATAGCATTAAAATCCACACCCTCTTTTCATGGCATATACTGTAAGGTGGGGTGTCGAAAGCTCTCATTATATGCTGATGACCTGCTTCTTTACATTTCAGATCCTTTATCATGCATCAATGATATTATCAAAGTCTGGCACAATTTTGTGACCTTCTCGGGCTACAAGTTGAATATTTCCAAAAGTGAGTGCATGCCTGTTAATACACTTGCCATGCATATGCCTGACTCCGTGTTTCCCTTTCGCATGGCAAGATCTGAGTTTAAATATCTGGGTATTAATATCACACAAAACTTTAAAGGACTATAATTTTACTCCTCTATTGATTAAACTTAAATCTGATCTTCTAAAATGGAAGATTCTCCATCTGCCTTTGGTTGGCTGGGTGAACTGTTTTAAAATTACAGTTCTTCCTAGATTTTTATATCTATTTCAGTGCCTCCCTATCTTCTTATCCAAAGCCTTTTTCAACACATTAGATAAACTTATTTCCCGTTTTTATGGGATGGGAAGACCCCTAGGATTCAGGAAAGAGTTTCTCCAGAAAAATAGGAGTGACGGAGGTTTAGCTCTCCCTAACTTTTTATATTATTATTGGACGGATAATGTCCAAAAGATAATCTATTGGATGCTCTCACCAGGAGGTACTGATTGGTATTAAACAGAATCTAAATCCTGCGCAGTAACCTCTTTACAAGCCCTGGTAAAATCTAGTTTACCTATTAAAATAGCAGAACACACAACAAATCCAGTTGTTCACGTCACTCTTAAAATATGGACTCCGCTACGTCAGCATTTGAAGTTAAGACAAGCACTTTTGCTTCAGAACCCAATATGCAATAATCATGCATTCCTCCCTGCCAAACTAGACTCTGCATTTAAACGGTGGCAAGATAAGAACATCTTTATATTGATGGTCTTTTTGCAAGATTTAATGATCTGCGTTCCAAATTCAATCTTAATCAAAAAATAACCTTTTCCGTTATTTTTAGATACGTCATTTTGTGAATGCTCAAAGCCCATCATTCCCTCAAAGTCTTCTGCTGACTCTGTTAGAAGTACACTTTCATCTACAAGGCTTTATTTCAAGAATATATACAATTATCATGTCTTTAAAAAGTGTAGGCACAGACAAGATTAGAAGCAGATGGGAGAAAGAGCTCGAAGTAGTATTATGAGAGGAACTTTGGAACAATGCCCTACGTAGAGTGAATAGGAGTACCTCTTGTGCCCGATTGAGTTTAATACAGTCACCGTATGCACTTAAGCAGAACACGGATTGCCTCTTTTAATCCTACCTTTGACAAGACCTGTATAAGGTGTCACACAGGTGAAGCGGACCTGACTCACATGTTTTGGATGTGCCTTACACTTACGGCTTACTGGTCAATCATATTCAATACACTTTCTAAAGTGTGTGAAGTACAGCTGAAGCCATGTGCCGAATTTGCAATATTTGGTGTTCCAGGCGATGAATCGAGTCTGACTCAAAGACAACTAAACATTATTGCCTTTGCATCCTTATTGGCTCGCAGTTTTATTGGTTTTATTACTTTGGAAATCTACAAATCCGCCTAAAGCATCACACTGGCTTCAGGATTTGATGTTATACCTACACTTGGAAAAGATTAAATATTCAATTATAGGTTCCCATAAATTCTTTTATGTCTGGCAAACATATTTCTCTGATATAAATGTACTTCCTGGGGAGTAATGGGATTTATATTTTATTGCAATTTCTTCTTATTCTCACCCCTCCCTTATGTAGGGTTTATGTTGTTCATCAGAGTGAAATGACACTGTATTATACCTGATTGTAGTATCCAATTACTTTTTTTTTGTCGTCATTATTCAACTATTGCATTTTTGTTATCTTTGTTTTATTTTAATTTTCTTTTAACTTTATTATTTTTATTTTATCTATAATAGGCAGTCTGTTTTGGGTTGGTTGGGGAGGGTTTACGAATATAAAAAATACAATCTCTGTACAAACAATAGCATTTGTCTTTGGAATTATATATATATATATATAATGATTTAGCTTCAAGAATAAAGTCATCACACTATTTGTAAGAATTTTGTAAACATAAATAATTTACTGCAGAAAAGGTGCAATTAATGTTTAATCTTAGGTGTCAATTAATTATTTCTTGAGAACTTGCGAACTTCACAGAATGTTACTTTTTTTGTAACGGAGAACATATTATAAGGTTATTGAGTTGTTCACATAATGTGGGAAGTGGGACTTGTGGTTTCTTATTTTACCGATTCAACAGATTGCTAAAATTGTCAGATTACGTTTTCACGTTGTTTTAATTTCATGTTAGATCATTTATCTAAGATATATAACCATTCTCACAACAATAATTTGTGTTGAGGGATTAGTGCCTCTAATGCTTGAAAAATGCCAGGGGACACTAATGTGAAAATGCCAAACACAGTCGAACAGCTGTGCACAACCAATCGCAAGCACTCGTAGAAGGTTAACACAGACATCTGCAGAGCGTAAACAGACACACATGTACTAGATAAACTGCAGCTCAGTAACTGCAGACTGTGGGTGTATGACTGGTTCAATCAGAGAGGTGAAAGATTTCATCAGTGAGAATAAGACTCTTTGTTTAGCGCTATAGGCCTGGAACTACACTCTTACAAATAAAGGTTCCAAGAGGGGGTTTTCGCAGCAACAGAAGAACCATTTTTGTTTCCCCAAAGAATCTTTCAATGAACAGTTCTTAAAAGAACCATTTTTTTTCTTAGCGCAAAGAACATTTTATAATCTAAAGAGCCATTTTTCACTATAAAGAACATTTTGTGCATTGAAAGGTTCATGGAAAGGTTCTACATGGAACCATAAATGCCAATAAAGAACCTTTATTTTTAAGAGCATGAAATGAACATACACACATGGACCGCAATCCTTGTCTTGCCATCATAACTGTGTTTTAATTATATTTATGTGTGTGTGTTTTATGCATAGGTGATATATTCTTTAAACACTAAGAATGAGGAGCAAGAGGCAACTCTGCAGTCGCTACGCCGTGTTGCCACGGAGACGCAGGGCAGCCTCCAGCCAACCACAGGTCAGGATGAAGAAGAGGAGGAGTCAGCATTTATTCTGAGGACACGCCTTCTAGAGCTGCAGGCCACCGTAGAGGAAGTAAAAACAAAAATGGTCACACATACACACGTATTCTGTAAATGGACTCATTATATTAAATACAACATGGAGAGTATCACTTTATTTTCTTAGGATGTGTGGATGTGTATCCATTTCAGGTGGAGGAGCGTGGACAGAGGGCTGAAATAGAGTATGCGGAGCGCATAGCCGTGTTAACCCAAGAGACATCAAATCTGCACAGAGACTACCAGAACCTGCAGACAGATAGAGACAACCAACACAAATTACTGCAACAAACACAGGAAGAAAACAAGCGCTTGGAGAATGAGTGCCAAGAGCTACGTAGAGCCAGAGATGAAGAGAGAAAGCGAGAGGAGGAGGAGAAGATGCATAGAGTGGAGGAGGAGAGGAAGAGAGAGATGGAGGAGAGGAATCGAGAGTCACAGGAAAGACAACGAGTAGAGGAGGAGTGTGAAGAAAGGTTGAAAACGGTAAGAAAGGAGCTACAGGCTCTGAGGGAGGAGAAAGAGAGAGTGGAGAAGGAATGGAAGAGAGATGTGGAGGAGTGGAAGAAGAGAGTCAATGAGATGGAAGAAGAGAGGAGGGAGGAGCAGAAGGCAGCTGAGAAGACACTACAAAAGAGCCTCAATGAACACATCAATCAGTGGCACCAGAGAGAGCAAGAAAACCGCAAGTCCCAGAATGCAACACTTCAGCAGAGGCTGAGAAAAGCAGAGACGGACTTGGAGGTTCAAGAACAGAGGTTGAATGAGAGCAACAGACACTGCAGCAAACTTCAGGAGAGAGTAGAGGTACACATGTGGGTCCAACAGGGTCCAAAATGAACCTTTTGCCAATTTTGCCCATTCCAGGTTAATCACATTTTTATTTAAGGTTATTGTGTATTATGCATACTTTACTTAAAAAAAAAAATATATATATATAATATTATGGGTTCATATTTTTCATTAAATTTGTATTTTCATATATATATATATATATATATATATAATTATTATTTAAGTGTCAATTTATGACCATTAGATTTACTGTAATTTTATCAGCATTTAACTTTTTTTAGTGCATAATTCTATTTAATATACAATATACGTATAATAGACATTCAGTATATTTAGATTTTATTTTTGTTATCCGACATAAAACATATGCCAAATAAATATGCAGGTGATCCACTGTGGAGACAGAACCAGCCAAAAGTGAGAATAATTAGGTTTAATGAAATACAAATGATATAAAAACTGAATATAAAATGTGACACTTTTTAAAATTTCAACCACAAGCTCGTCTTACATTATCATAATGGAAAAACTGAAAATTGTTATTTCCAGGCCTGATAATTCATGAAGATGTATGTGGCGAATATAAATGTTTCTATTTATGCATAGCAAAAACAAAACACTCATTGTGTACACACAAACCAGTATTGCTTTACAAGACATCTCACATAAATTCACTTGACTGGCCATTTGTAACTGACCTTTCAGCGGGGTGTTCGTCTCAGTGTAAGGGGGCAGTAATTACTGCTGTGACTGACACTTCCGAATCTAATTGAGACCGAGATTAGAGGGATCAGACAAACACCCACAATTACCATCACTCAGACACACACAGCTGTGTAGAAACAGATGGCATACCCGACTTAAACAGTCTGTGACAATATCCCACAGATCTGTAGTCAGTTTTTCTACAGCAAAGTCTGCACAGAACCTACAGAATATAAAAATAACATAGGCTTTTTTTAAGTGGGACACAAAAGTAAGTCGTTACACTTAGTATTTAGAACAGGATAAAGCCAAGTGATTAAATCAGTAAGAGTTGCTAGGCATGCAACATTGACTCCACCGTCTCTGATGCAGCTTTTTAAATACGCTGCGGCTAATGCGCACTAGATGTGCCTAAAAATGCCAGGCACAGAGTGAGATGAGTAACAACCTCTCTGCTTTGGCACGACATCCTTGACCGAAAATTAATCAGAGGCACCTCAGATCTGCAAACTCAGAGCAGCTGCTGTGATGTAATCAAAGGTTCATGGGCTCAAAGTGTTCATGAGGCGGCCAGAATTGACTGATTAAAGTCATCTTGGGCTTCATGGGCCTGACAGATGATGCCGTTATGGTTGTTCATTTCTGCTGCAGGATCATTCAATAAGAGGATCCAGCAGAATAATGGACAACTACATTTTTTAGTTTCTTAAGAAAATGTGAGTGGTGCTAGGGTGTTTGTCAGGTTGTTGCAATGCAGTTTCTGAGGTGTTTGTAGCGGTTTTTAGTGTGTTGCTAAAATGTGCATATGTTCATGTGCATATCACAAACAGTACACGTTATGCTTTGTAGGTTAATACCTATGGTTAGGGATTTCCTTCTAACCCTAATGCCAGGTATAGACTACACAATTTTAGGCCATAAATTGTGGACAAAAGCCCAAAATCTGAGGAAGATCTGTGCTCGTTCACATGAGTGACGATTGAATGAGGTGATCTGAGAGAAGTGCCAATACGATGCCTATGCTCAGAGCCTTGCAATGTATTTTGACTGGAAATGTCATCGCCAGTGACCTACAGCCAATGAGAGAGCAAGATACAGGGCAAGGGAAATTTCATAGGAGTCATAGCCTTACATCCCTGTATCACTTCTCGCGCTTCCATTTTTTACACAAGACAGAGTGGTCGGGGATTCTTCCAAGTGAAATATTGTGTCATGTGTGACCCCCAGTCGCTGATCCGTCATGTAACATGCAAACGACTGAAAGGAGCATTAATCCGATGACTCTGAAAATTGTGTAGTGTAGACCCAGCATAAGTATAAGCAATTGTAATAGTTATGCTGATTCGTGTTACTCATTTCTTTTACAGGACCTGGAGGAGCAGTTGGAGGATGGGCGTCACCGGTTGGCCGAGGCTGAGGCTGTGGCAAAGAAGGCAGAGGAGGAGTTAGCTGTAGCCAAAGAACGATTATTACTGCAAGAGAATGAGCTACAGAGCAAGTCAGGTGCACATGCACAGTACAGATCAGTGAAAGGCTTGTGTACTTATATTTGTCATCATTAGACATCAAATTAATCAGATATGCTAAATAATTAATCAGACTAATAGCTTCAATATTTCAAAATCAATATTTGGTAGAAAATATTTCAAAGAGAGGCTAGTAAATAATTAAATAGACAAAATAAAAAGTTGCTTTAAAAATAAATATATCCATAGGTTAGTTTTACTTCCATATCACTGAACAGAAGCCTACAGTCCACAGACGTTCACTTTTTGCAATCAAGTTTGTCAGTCTGTCCGAGGTAGATTTAGGGGCCGTTCACACGACATATTTTCAGTGTTTTGTCAGTACTATTTCTATAATTGTTGGTCCACACAGACATGTCAGATGGACGTCTTTGCCTTTTGCGTCACACCTCATTTTTCAGTCTCCCAGCATAAGTGCCCTGTTTTCGCTGTCAAGTTCAAAACTTCGACAAATTTGAAAAATGTGTCTCAAGATCTGAGCATTCTGTTCCATTCCACTGCGCTGCATCTGTCTTGTTTCTCAGGGAACAAAGCTAAAGCATAATTGTGGTACTTCAAGCTTAAATTGTTTCGAGGGTATAGGAAAATGCCTTTTTACAGAATTTAAGCCTAGGATTACGTGGCATGATTGTTTTTTTTTTTTAGATGAGTAATTTAACATTAAATAAAAAGCCTTAATTACAATATAAACATCTACCTTTTTAGTAGTAAATAAGTTGACAGTCTGTTTAATGTTAATTGTTCCAGTGTTGATTTTTACATCTCTATTGAAATTATTGCTTTTGTCATATGACACTTGAGATCACCAGCTTGTTCACTGATTGTTCTGCTTCCTTTAATTTAATTATCATCTTTCTCATTTCTGCAGAGGAGTTAATGAGCCAGAGTTCATCTCAGGTGAGGTTCTCTGCTGAAGTGGAAGAGCTAAGGTCTCAACTGAGTCGTCTCAACATTAGAAACAAAGAGCTGGAGCTTCAGAACAGTGGCCGATCCAATGACCACGCTCGCATGCTTAAACAGGCAAGCCATTCAAGTAATGTATGAAAGACTGTATCTCTAAGTTGAATGCACATGAACAGCACCACAATGTCGTAATTACAATGGGAGACTCAGGATTTTATTTTAGCCCTTAGTTGGGGGGTGTGTGTAAGCAGTGTTAATATTGTTAACTAAAATTATTAAAAATAATTTTCGGTAAATGGAAAAAGCTGAAATAACATGAAATATAAATGTTAGATAAAAAACTTGAACTGAAACAAAAATAGTTGACAATATTACCTTAATTGCATCTAGATGACAATATTACCTTGTCAACTAGCTGCAATAAAAATTACTAAAACAGAAATACAAATAATGTAAAGTTAAATAGAAGTCTTAAAAACAAATAAAAATGACAAAGGCATATCACAAAATTAATAAAACTTAAACTAAAATTTAAATGAAAACTACAATTTTTTTAAATAAAAGCTCATTCAAAATATTAATGAATACTGTAATAACTGATAAAGGGCACATTTACAGCACAATACTTTTTTTGTTAAAAAACTACAAATTAATTGTTAATTAAATGCTACAAGTGAATTTAGGCATCACAAATAAAATACTACACTATAAAAATTACTGTGATTTGCTGAAGATTACATTTAACAGTCTTATTCAGTTATTAGTGTTTTAAGGATTTAAAAGAGCATTCGATGACAGCAAACGTAATCTAAAAGTAAAAATTTGATAAATGAACATGCACAATTAAATATCCAACATCAACCAATACTGATAAAAAATTCTAATATTTACTGATAACCCAATGAAAGAAATCTTTTACAGTACCTAAAATTCATCTCAGACAGAAAAATCGCGCTACTGTTTTTAAACAGCTGTACTGTTCTCTACAGCACCTCTAGCATACAAGAACACATAAACCACATGGTGAAATGCTGTGAAATCACATCCCAAATGAGGCCTGCCATCTCAGACACGGAAATGCAAATAAGTAAAGCACACCATAAAATGTTCTTTGAAAAGCGTTTGTATGCCAAGAAAGATCAGCCAAGCCTTTTGAACATCTTAAAACATCACAACTGACACACCAGAGGCTTAAAAGGTGTAGTGTCATTCTTTTGAAACTACAGGATTACAGTTTTATATCATTAAGAGTCATGTGTGTGTGTTTTAGCATGCAGATGCTCTATCCTCTATGCGTCTGGAGCTACAGCGAGCTCACACTGAGGAGATCAGACGCCTTCAGCAGGAGGTGGAGAACGAAAGA